TAAACAAATACCGTGACCAACATAGCACTGAAACATGTGACCGGAATGGACCACATCGTAAACTTCGCAACTTCCAAAAACCCCATAGTTCCGGCTGGATTTGCTGCGGCTTACTTCTAGTGAGTTTCCATTAGCGCGCTTCCAATAATTTCAGCGATACCGATTCATCAAGTTATTGTAGGAGTTTTGTAAGGCTGTTTTCTGTCTGAGTACCAGTTCCAACTTGGCGTATACAACTTTGTCCAAAACCGTTATATGAAGAAAAATGCGCATTGTAACTTGGCGTTGCTCTTCACATAAACTCAGGCCAAAAACAGCCAATAATTTATATCCCTATAAAGTAATCTATATCTCTGAGTTTTAGCGAGATTTTCAATTTTTAAGCCTCATGCGGAATTTGGTAGGCTTTTGGCCCGGCATCGTAATGAATTTCAGTTAGTAATTGCTGCAAGTTTTTTGACAAGCCATGAAGGATTATCTAAGGGGTTCTTATGTGGCTTTTGTGGGCCCCGTAAGTTTGGCGGTCAAATTAGCAGATCTAACTGAAGGAAGTAAAAATAGTTCATTCGAGCGTTTTGCGTTTTGGACAGATTCGATGATAGTTCTCTACTATGTCCACAGCATGCCTTCTAGAATTTGTACATTTTTGCAAATCGGCTGAAAGATATTAGTGATATGTTGTCACCTACTCAATGGAGACACTTAACATCGGAGAACAATCCAACCGACGTTGTCTCCCGAGGGACATACAATCTCAGTTCACCGCGTGGATGGTTAACTGGACCAAGATATTTACCCAAACACGACATTAATTTGCCTTCAAAGCCTCGACCGAAGCCGTTTGGGTTAAAGAGCTTTACAGCATTAACGAAATAATGACATGTGCCTACTAGTAGCCAAGTTGCTCTGTTGAGCGAAGATGCAGAAGGTCGCAGCTTGGTGACTACGTTACAGCCGATACCTATTTATTAAAGCGGGCAGGGCAAATAAAGAGGTTCTACCCTCTCTAGAATACGTGCCTCGTGGAGAATGGCCTCTAGTGGCGGTAGATGGTTGTGCGACGAGCTCAGATGGCTTAGTAAGAACTCCGCATGTAAGAACGGTGGGCGGCGCCCTTAAGAAAATATTGGAAATGTATGTTTACTGGATAGAGCCAACTGGGTTTGAACTACACCAAAGTCGGCGCTTGTAGCGGGAGTGTACTCGGACCATTGATGTCGGTGGTTGATGGTTTACCTTAGAATGTAGGTGAGTATGGGTAGATTGCAAGAACCGGTGCGTCCGTCGGGTCAATGTGGAGAATTCGGTGGGCGGCGTTTCGTCCGTTACTTTGGCATTCGAAATTCCCAAAGTATTGCCTGTCCCAGCTTGTAACCTCCGCTCCGTCTTTACGTTTGGTGCATGCGCGCGACCTGGAATTTAGTTGTCCCCACTAGTTCACACATTTGAAGTCATCCAGCCATTTTGTGGCCGACCCTATGCATTTGTCACTGTCTCACATCGGAGACTTTGCTCATTTGTCTCGTACTTTTGCAGTCCTAATGAACCGTTTGTTGTAGAAGAGTATCTACTGTCGAGGTTTGTATATATTGTGAATTGATGTCCTACGTTAATAGTACCGTATAGAAACCCGGCTCGGACTTGGTTTAGCCTTCCTGGAGGTTCTAGTATACGCGTCACTCGAAGATACTGTGCGACTGTTACATTCTGACAGGACCATAAAAATCGGCCCAATGGGCAGTCGCCGTTCAACGGATGAATAGGAGGATCTTTCCCCGTACTGCTAGCATGGACTTTCAGATACTCTATGAAACCGTTTCTTGAATACGCCAACCAAGGTCTTTACTCATAACGAAAGAAAGACCTAATCGTTGTTGGGTGCGTCTAACGAGCTGCTACAAAAATGGTTGTCAGCCTTAAATCCGTTGATTATAAAACGTGTTCCGCGGTGCCTGGCCTATTTTTCTGGAGTATTATCATCTTTGATGAGACCTAATACTTACTTTTGGAATGTTCGAATAAGATTTGGCCAACACGGTTGACACCGTTGACCCAGCTAACACACGGCGGGGACATGGTTGGGGTTTTAAGTTCAAGACACAACTTTATTGAGCAACAGTTTTCCTCGTTTCGGCTAGCCGGTACGTAATAAGATTTGACACGGTTGACACCGTTGACCCAGCTAACACACGGCGGGGACATGGTTGGGGTTTTAAGTTCAAGACACAACTTTATTGAGCAACAGTTTTCCTCGTTTCGGCTAGCCGGTACGTAGAATAACCTTCCCCCGACGGTTGTTCCCGCTACATCTTGTACCCAGTTCAAATCATTTTGGGCGCTTCGTTAGTTGTGTCCTTGTACTGGCAAGGTTACCGACCCGCACTGTGTACTTGAAAACCAGTGCTACACCTTTTTTGGTTGTGCCTTTTAGATGAACAGAAGCCGCTAGACGACAAGAACAAATCAGACCCGGAAGTTTAGGCAAGAGCCTTGATCCTGTGTATCCAATGTGAATCTGTGAACGTGAAAGCATATCAACGACTGAGCAAGGCGACAGGAAGCACTCGTGACCGATCGAAAGTATGAAAATTGCAAACAACTTCTCAGCTAATGCACCTATCCAAAACTACTAAAAGATAAGTTCATTGAAGAGCCGTCAAGATGTGACTTCAATGTTACCTCCAAATTCTTAGGCTCTTATACGTGATAAAGAGCGTGCTCATCTTGTAATTCATATTTTGAAGCCATAAACTATAACACCGTTAAGACTGGAGTCAACACTTTTCCGGCCGCTGTGCGCCGTTTCGTCAATGGCTGTCAGAGTGGTTATCCTGCCAACCAATCTTGGCTGCACAGCTTCATGACGCGGTGCATCAAATCGCAGGGGGGAGTACAAAGAAGTTTACACAATATATCGAAAGGTTACCCTGACTGTTTGCATCTTTCAGTACGAGGGAAATGGAGAAGTTAGAGGGCCTACTGATTCACTTACTCAGAAAATTGTCAGGAATAGTGGAAGAAGGTGACAGTCACTCTAAACTGTGGCCGTAAGTTTGAGAATTTGCCCACAATGTCCAAAGACAACCAAGTTCTCAATGTCCGCGGATTCTCGAACAAAAGTGGTCCTGAAAGGGGAAATTCGGAAACTCTGGTCTTCTACTGACCAGGGAACATTGATTACAGATCAGAAGTTGAGCAGGTCATTTGCTTTGCCTTTATTGAAGCTTTCGGTATGGTACAACGCAAGGAACCATCAAATCGATTCTGACCTCCAGATGCTGCAGGTGTGGCGTTTTGTACCTTTATTTTACTTCCAATATAACACTACGTATTTCATCAATTGCATAATCGTTTTTTGTTTAAATACGAAAAACTACAAAAACGCGCACTTGTACAATTTTACATAATACAAGCGTGGTCACGTGCTTCGACTCTCTCTTCTGGTTTCGCTCGCGCTTGCAGCGGTAATTCGCGAGTCTCCTGTACTAACTCTGGTACCAAAGCACTTCAGACATCTTCGGAATCTATTATATGTGGGAACTGTTCAGAATAAGACCTCTGGACAAACATAATTGGATTATTGTTTATTCGCTGACCTGGGCCAACGACGAACTATTTTAAAGAAAACAATTGTTAGTGAGTCTGTTCTATCTGATCTCTTTATTTTTGTATACCCAAACTAGCGTAATTATTTTTATTTCTTTCCCACACACTCCTGGTAAACT